TGGAGGGTCAGAGAAAAAGAGGAAGACCCCCAACGAGATGGATCAGCCAGGTGGCATCATTGATGGTGTCAAGTGTGGCAGCGATAGACAGGTTGGCCCAGGATCGGACACTGTTTCGTTCTGCTGTGCATGGGGTCACTATGAGTCGGTTCTGATTCAATGGCACCTGACAACAACAACAGCAAGAAAGTAGATAATGGTCTCAGTCAGTCAGAATGGTAAACTATTCTTTATTCACAAGTGAAAAATGTAGGCTGCCTGTAATGTGAGTCACCATGCATTTTCAAAGGTAGAATTTCCAGGTAGTCAGCTGAAAAATGGAAGTTTGAGGACTCAAAGAGAAGTTATACCAGCAGCACAAATGACCGACATTCAACATAAGACTCAGTGGTTATATTTTATTTTAAATTTTATTTTAAGAAAATTCACTGATCCAACCTTTCTCTTATAGCCCACATCCATATCCATAAGCAAAACTGTATTGTTCTCAATTTCTCCTACACCAGCATGTCTAGATTATTGCAATAGCCTCATAAGAGAGCCCCCTATTTTTCCCTTCCTCTTTCTGTGTCTTCTCAATCCAATAGCTAGCGTAATTATCTGTATATGAAAATCAGACCATGCCCCAACACCATGCTTTACCATGTTTTCACAGTAAAATCTTAATTCTTTCCCATGGCCTAAAAACCAGTTGCTATTAAGTTGATGGTGTTACTTCTGACTCCTGGTGAGCCCATTTATGTCAGAATAGAACTGTGCATCACAGTGTTTTCAATGGCTGATTTTTTGGAAGTTAATTGTTTGGCCTTACACCTCTGGATGGACTTAAACATCTTGATTAGTAGTTAGCACCCCCCAGGGATTCCTAGAAAATATTATATCTTCGATAAGAATGTGTTGAATAAGAAAATCACTTAAGATAATCTCAATGTTTTGGAGTTTTTTTAAATATATATTTTTGAAGAGTTATGCTTTTGTGTAAATATGAAATACTACTTTTCGGGTGTTTAATCATGTTGGCCAATACTAGCATTACTAACCATTGTCCAGCTACCAGTTTGCCATATGATGGTGGTTTGCCTGTTGCTGTGATGATGAAAGTTATGCCACTGGTATTTCATATACCAGCAGATCACCAACAGTGCACAGATTTTGATAGAGCTTTCAAACTAAGACAGACTAAGTGAAAAGGTCTGATGAACTACTTCTGAAAAGTCAACAATGAAAACCTTACGGATCAGAACGGAACATTATCAGACTGTCTTACTCTGGACATGTCATTTCCATTGCCAGCAAGTTGATTTCAACTTATATTGACTTTGTAGGACAGAGTAGAATTTCTCCATATAATTTTTGAGGCTATAATTCTTTATAAATGTATCCTGCCTCATTTTTTTTTCTAGCAGTGTGACTGGTGGATTTGATCCCCAGATCTTTAAGTTAGCAGCCCAACATATAATCTATTATGTCACCTGGGTTTCTTGGACTATCATTAGGAGAGATTGGTCACTGGAAGAGGACATATGTTATGAAGTTTTGTTGTTGTTAAGTGCCGTCAAGTAAGTTCTGCCTCATAACGGCCCTGTATAGGGTTTCCGAGGTTCAGCTGATGAGCTTGAACTTGTGGTTCAAACCAACTTTGTAGTCCAGGGCATTAACTCACAGTGCCATTCCGGTCTCTCTCTCTCAACTGACAGGTGAGTGGTGGGCAGGGGTTACACCACCTAATTTTCCATCAGTACACATCAGTCAAGTGCCTTGAGTTTTCTTAAAATTTTCATGCTATGATACACATATTTCTAACTCAGCTGTAGTATATCTTATAGAAGTGGTAGGAAGAGCTTTGGCAATCAATACTCTTCGTGCACTATTAGGGCAATCCACACCAGGAGTCTGTCACTGTCCTTTAAAGGGGGCAGAAAAGGCTTTTGGCATACAGAGGTCTCTGTCCTGAAATCTTCATTAGCCTGTTTCAATCTAGTCTTTGTCCCTCTGGTATTGATCTTGGCTTGGCTTTTCCTTATTTGATTATAATACTCAAATATTAAGTTAGTTTTGGCTGTCTTCAATAGAGTTGTATAAACTAGGCAGCATCTGGCAGTTAGCGCTTTCCACATCAACTGATGTTCAAATATCAGCAGCAAGTCTATCCCCAGAGGTAAAATCAGAGTAACTTAGAAGTCCTACCCAATAGAGCAACTGAGTAAACACAAGTACAGACAAGCCTTGAACATTCCCTTCCACAGGTATTTCCCTCAGTATCCCTATGGTGCTAGATTATAAGCTCCTGCTTAATCAGCTTCTTCTTTATAGTCTGAGAACTCCCTGATATGAATGGCTTGGGAGAATGCATAGTAACATGTGGCCTTTTTAGGATTCATATTCTTTACCCTAAGTCTCAGTCTCCTGAGCTCTTGGAGCTCACTCATGCAAGAGTCTGTTCTTTGGTCAATATTCTGTTTCTGATATCAGGCAGGATACTCATTGCAACCAAAGAAATGTAAATGTATAAGCCAAAATTGCTAGATGTTGTAAAAATAAATTCCTTCAAAAGTAGACATTTATGAAATCACTCAACAGTGACTTCTAAATTAAAGTAAGTGTAACAAATACACAAAAGAGAGAAGGAAAAATTAGTAAAATAATAAAAGGTAATATGAAACAGAAAAAAAATAATGAATAAATAGAGAATATGAAATAAAAAAATGTAATACAATTTTATGGATTACAAAATAAAAGCAGTAGGTGCTAAGGTGGTAGAAAGAAGCCCAACATATCAATATATACAACAAGTGTAAGTAGACAAACTTAACTCAATTAAAGAGAAAGCTTTTCTGTTTGGATTTAAAAAATAGAACTCCAAGTGTATTCTCTTTATAAGAGACATACTTAAAGCACATAGAATTGTTAAATTTGATTTCGAAAGGAAAAGAAACACAATCACTGAAAGAAAACATCTGTAGCTGTATGCTGTTGTTGTTACGTGCCATGCAGTTAGTTCTGACTCATAGTGACCCTGTGTAGGGTTTCCAAGGCTAGTTCATTTAACAGGGAAAGAATATTCTCTTCAACAAATGGAGTTGGAATAATTGGATTTTCACATAAAAAATAATGACATTGGACCATACTTCATGCCCTATGTGCAAACATTAACTCAAAATGGAGCAAGTCAAAAGAATCCATATGCTTTGCTATCAAGTCGATTCCTACAAACAGCAAAACCATAGAACAGGGTAGAACTTCCTCAGAGGATTTCCAAGACTTAAATCTTTATGAAAACAAACTGCTACATCTTTCTCTTTTCCCACTGAGGTGTCTGAGTCGCTTACTTTTTGGTTGACAATCTAAGCACTTAACCACTCATCTGAGCTCCTTAAAATGGAGTAATGTATTGTTAAGTGCCTCCAAGGAGTTGGTTCCAACTCATAGCAAACCTGTTTACGGTTTCCAAGGAGTAACTTATAGGTTTGAACTATTAACCTTGTGATTAACAGTTCAGTGCTTATCTTACAGCGTCACACCAGACCCTAACATGAGAACAAATATCATAAAATAACTAATATCATAAAACTCCTAGAAGAAAAACATAGGGGTAAATATTCATGACTTTGTATTTGGCAGACAGTTCCTAAATATGACACCAAAAGCATGAACAAAAGAACAAAATTTGATAAATTGATAAAATGAAACACTTTTGCATATCGAAGAACACTATAAAGAAAGTGAAATGGCAACTTATAGAATGGTATAAAATAGTTGCAAATCATATAGCTGATAAGGACTTAATATCCAGAATATATTAAAATTCCTACAACTCAATTACAGAAAGAAGAGCAAACCAGTTAAAAAATGGGCAAATGACCAAATAGACATTCTCCAAAGATGATATACACACAGCCAGTAAGCATGTCAAAAGATATTTAATGGAATTGCTCATAGAGGAAATTAAATTATAAAAACAAAACAAAAATCATTGGAGTAGTTTCTGGCATATGTTGCTGTTGTAAAGTGCTGTCGAATCAGTTCTGACCCATAGCGACCCTGTATAGGGTTTCCGAGGAGCAGCTGGTGAGCTTGAACTGCTGATCTTGCAGTTCAAACGGCTTTGCAGTCTGGCATATTAATCCACAGCACCACACCAG